CGGACCATGAGTGCCGGCTGTGGGCAAGGTTTCGCGGCCGGTGAGCGCCGTACCAAAGCGTAAGAAGTGGGATATTGTGGATTCCCTTTTCGTATTCCCTATCTTCAAGTCTTTCAGGAAAATACTCATAACAGAATCTTGACTTAGACTTTTCCTGTTATCTCAAAAGTTTGGCTAAAGTTGTACTTTTTAAAAGAGCCTTGATGAATTACTAGACACAAACTAATCCTGTGACCATGACTCCATTATCTTACACCTGTAGACTACATGGAAAGCCTTGAAATGTGAAAGGGACAAGTAGGAGCATTTAGTGCAGTCTTTGTTCCAGAGGGAGGGCAATGTGTCTCTTTCCCTCCCCTTCGAGTGCGGGAGGGCGATGGGTGCTCCTCACAGGTCAAGTGAGAGGCTCCAACAGAGTGGCCCAGAGAGGTTGTGGAGAGAGATTTGTGCTGAGCTGGTTTTCCCCAGAGTCTCTAGGTCTCCTCCCTACCTTCACCCCACAATGCCATGGGACAGGTGCACCAGGAAAGGTTGGGTGATTGTGGTATGTGTGCCCTAGAGTCTGAAGGATGAATGGGGCAGGTGCCTCCTTCACACCTGGAGAATTCTGAAGGCAAGAGGCTGCTGGAGAGGCCCTTGAAGGCAGGAAGAGAAGAAAGGGCAATGGTGGGGCAGCACTTTCCCATTTGCTGTTGCAAGGATGTTTACCATGGGATGCTGCAGTGTCTACACTGCTTGGAAACATGACTAGGCTCCTTGGTCCCTGCCCTCATGTAGGTTATACTCAGGGAGGAGGCAGTCAATAATCAAAGAATCATATAAATAAATATAAACCTACTTGGTGGAAGTGCTGAAGTAGAAGGATGCGTCATGCTACATGAGCATATAACAGGGACATTATAGCCTCATTAGAGAGGTCTGAAAAGCTTTCCTTGTGGAAGTGATGTATGAAACCCCAAAGTAGGAGTTGACCAGAGGAAATTGATGGGGGTGTTGAGAGCGTTCCGGGGAAGTGGGGAAAGAACAACCTATGCCAACTTCCTGGAGCTGGAAGGAGCATGACCTGTGCAAGGAACAGAAATGAGTCCAGCTAGGCAGAACGCAAGGGAGAAGCAGGTGGAGATGTGCAGGGCCAACCATGGACCTTGTGGGCCACATAGGAATTTTGTTCTTTATCTTAATATTTCTTAAGAACTATTAAGTCATTAACAATTCGTAAGTTAATAAAGTATTTAAACCTGGGGGTAATACTCTAAGCCCCATAATTTGAATGGATCATTCTAGTCATATTGTGGAAAAGATATTATCAAGTGAATATATGCAGATGTAGATCTCTTTATTAATTTTTCCTGGAATATAGTGGGACATTTCCATATTCAGAACATTTCTCTTGAGATTCCAAAATTTTTCCTATATTACGCCTTTGGATATTGCCTCTGATCTATTTACTGTTTTCTTCTTTAGAAATTCTTTAATATTTTATCCATGCAACTCAATATTCATTCTGTAGTTATCAGAATTTTGTTTCTTTTCCCTTACATTATGGGAATATTTTAATTTTTATGCAAGATCAATTTTTCTGATTACTGTTTGCAGGTTATATTTTACCACTGTGTCAAATTTTATTTATTGTACTTAATGCATTCTTCTTATCTCAGTTTATTACTTTCTTGTCATCACCTGTTTTGTCCTCTTGCACCAGATTGAAATAACAAAACATCGATTTTAAAATACTTTCTTTGTCTGTTTTTTAAGTAAAGGGTTTTTCTCTGAGTCTTTAGTACATTTCTCTCTTCTCATGAGCTGCCGAAATTTATTATAGTGGTGGTCACGGGAGTGGTGGCATGGGGAAGCTGAATGATGGTGCTTGCAATGATGATGGGGATGATGGTAACACTGAGGATGATGATGATGGTTAGATGAGTTGCATGATATTGAGAGTGATAATGAAACAGGGAAAGGATAACAGTTTTGGGGGTGATGTTTGATGAAAATGATGAGAATACTGATGGGGTGACAAAGCTGTGATGACGTAATGCATGATGACAATAACAGGGTGATGGCAGTGAAGGTGGGGGTGCCTTGGGTATGTGTTGAGTAGCTGGTATACACACTTGGGATAGAGTTAGATAAAAGTTAAAACAAGTGTCTTCGGATGCCTCTGAGGGACGTTGAGTCACTTCTGCTTTTTCTGCTTAGCTGCTGGGGTTGGCCCAGCTGCCTAATAAGCTGAGGTTCTTAATGATGTTCCTTCCATTTTCTTAAGCACTGAACTTAACAAGTCTCCCAGGAATTCTCACTTCTGAGTAACTCAACTGTGGTTTAATTGAGCCACAGCCAGGAAGGATGACTCCTGGGGCAGAGAGACCCATGAGTGGCCCCAATAACTGGGGAATAAGCTTGGAAACTCATAGCAGGAGGGGGGCAGAGGAAGAGTAGAGATTTTCAAGACATTAGCTTAATTGGGATTAGAAAAGTGTATAAATTGGCAGTTCTTATATTCTCCTGGGAAGTGTCAGCCTAATGCAGAGCTTGTGGGAGACTCTCAGTAGCTCTGAGTCTGGGGCCTGTGATTGTGCCTACAAAGCCATACATGCAATCCTAAGGCAGGTCCCTGAACTCGGGTGCTACGTGCTCCTGTCTGAGAAATTGTTTTCCACCTTGAGCTAGCCTTGACATGCAAGCCAGTCACTGAAGATCAGTGCTGTTAGGAGCCTTAAAGTTTGGTTTCGCTAATTCTTAAGTGACAGTTCAAGGACCACTGACAGCCTGGCCACATCAGAAACTTGTGAAGTTTTATTGCTGTTATTTGTAATTTCTTTTCATTTTTCTTTAATTACACAAGTAAACATTAATATACTCATTATAAACATTCAACCAACACAGATACATAAAAGTTCCCTTTGATCCTCTCTTCAATACTAGTCCCTACAGCAGAGATTAAGTCTGCTTCCACACTTTTAAAAAATATGCTTTAACATTACTCTATGTGACATGTAGGAATACGATTTCTTTTGTTTCTTTTTTTTAAGATGGAGTGATATAATGACATCATAACATAACATACAAATAATACAAATGATATATATTTTTACTCCTAGATCAAAGGTATATATACTAACTTTTAATGGTACTTCCAAAAGGGTACTATTCAATTTAAAGCCCTATCGAGAATCTATGAAAGTATTCATTTCCTCATATCACTGCCCAAATTGTAAAACTATTACTTTTTCATTTTTGTCCAATCTAATGGGTAAATTAACTTCTTTAATTTGAATTTCACTGATTACTAATGAGGTTGGACATTTTAAAAAATGTTAATTGGTCATAATTATTTTCATTTTTTGTGAGTTATGTATCCATATAATTGGTCTATTTTTTCTATTTTGTCTTTTTAAAGTGTTATTTATATGTTCTGAGTATATCCATTATATAGTATTTTTATTGTGTATATTTTGTATATTGAGTGTGTATATATCTCCTTTGTGTCTTATGTATGTTGCAGATATTTTCTCCTAACTTATAATTTTTCCTTTGACATTTTTGTATTTTTTTTTGTTGTTAAATCAATCAGTCTTTGCCTTGTGGGTGTGTATATAGTCTTACTTAGGAATGCAATCCACATCCTAAAATTCTAAAAACATTCTGCATATTTTTTAACATATATTTTTAGCTCTTTAACTCATGAAGAATTTGTTTTTGTTGTGGTGTGAGAAAGGAATCGATATTTTTTTCCCCTAAATGGAGAGCCAATTGTCCCAATACCATTTATCGAATAGTCTATTTTTTACCCAACTGATTTAAAATTCCATCCTTACCATATACTAAAGATCCAGGTAATTATGAGCCTATTTTGGACTTTATTATTTTATTGATCTATCCATCAGGATGTTTTACAATATGGTAGGGCAAGTTTTCTTTTGTCTTTTTTCTCTTTGGCTATTTATATGCATTTTCTCTTCCAAATGAACTTTCGAATCAGCTTATCAAATTTCCTTTTTTTTTTTTTTTTTTTTGAGACAGAGTCTCGCTTTGTTGCCCAGGTTAGAGTGAGTGCCCTGACATCAGCCTAGCTCACAGCAACCTCAAACTCCTGGGCTCAAGCAATCCTGCTGCCTCAGCCTCCCGAGTAGCTGGGACTACAGGCATGCGCCATCATGCCCGGCTAATTTTACCTATATATATTAGTTGTCCAACTAATTTCTTTCTATTTATAGTAGAGACAGGGTCTCACTCTTGCTCAAGCTGGTTTCAAACTCCTGACCTCAAGCAATCTGCCCCGCCTCGGCCTCCCAGAGTGCTAGGATTACAGGCGTGAGCCACCACACCTGGCCAAGCTTATCAAATTTCATAAATAAAATTTTGGACTTAGATTGGGTTTGGAGTGAATAAATTTGTAGAAGTGACATATTAATAAGGTTATTTCTATAAAATTTATAATTTTTGTAGCTATTGCAAATGGTAGTCTTTTTTGTCCATTATATTGGTGATGATTGGAAAGTGTTTTTCCTTTATCTGTTCATCTCGTGTATGGTTTTATCCTTTAAACCTACTAATATAGTATATTAAATGAATATATTTTCTAATTTGGAATCACCTTTGCATTCAGTGGATAAACATGTGTTTATTCATACTTGTTTATGATGTGTTATTATTGTAATGTATGCTACATTTCAGTTAATATTATTAAAGGATATTTATATCTATTATTTGTAAAAGGAAGTTGGTCCAAGGAATATGTTAGAGCATTTCAAAAACCCTATAGATGTTATTCCCCAGATTTTTCTTTCAAGCTTCTTCACTAGACTATTTGTCCCAGTTGTTATTCACCACTTCAGGTTGCCATGAAGTTAATCAATTGCTTCTAGTTTTTTTCAGCAAATGCCTCTGGAGAAAAGTTCGTTCGTTCGTTCGTTCGTTCCTTCCTTCCTTCCTTCCTTCTTTCTCTCTCTCTTTCTTTTCTTCTTTCTTTCTCTTTCTTTCTTTCTTTCTTTCTTTCTTTCTTTCTTTCTTTCTTTCTTTCTTTCTTCATTCCTTTTTAACTTTGCTTGAGGTCCAAGTGAGATCAAATCACAAACAACTGTGCTAGTAGTACGGTCTTCCAGGAAAACACCAAACAGGTAAAATAATGCAATTATCTTTAAAATATTTTTATGTTAGTACTATAGATTAAATATATAGCCTCTATTAAATTAATTCTGTGCTTATAGCCATAATTTTTCCATTCATTATTCAACCAAAGACCATAAAATTATATTTCCTGAGTTCTTACATGTCAAAAATTTTGTTACCCATGTATGGGAATAAAGTTTGGCTAGATATAATATTCTTGGGTTATACTTTATTTTCCACTGAGAACTTTGGGTAAAGACTGTCTCACTGTCACCTGTCTTCTATCACTGAATGATGTTGTGGAAAAGTTTGAGGCCAAACTACTATTTTTCCCTTATAAGAATTTTTCTTCTTTGGACCTTCCAAAAGAGATTTTATTTATCAATGAAGCATACTATACATATTATAATAGGCTTGTTTGTTGATCTTCTATATCAGTTTTTACTGGGACATTGGATTGTGTCACCTTTCAGTCTATAGAGTCAAAGCTTATTTTCGTTTTTAAAGTTCTTGCATTAAATTTTGAATATTAATTTCTGCTAAATTTATTCACTTTCGTCTCCAAAGGCACACATTATTTGCATATATTGGCCTTTATGTGTGTTACATATCTATTATTTCTTTATAATCCTTTCAAATTCTTTGTTCATTTCCATTTCACTTGCTTAAGTTTTCATTTTGACTTCCCTGTCCCTTGATGTGGTTTTAGCAATGTCCAGCTGTGAACTAAAATCAAATCTTAAGCTCCCCACTCCTTGCCCACCAGCTGACTGAATAGACCCCCTCTTGGCCAAGGGGATATCCTAAAACTAAATTGCCTGCCACCAGAAGGGAGGTCAGACATGACTCATCATGCCCTCTTCCTTCTTGGAGATAGCCTTTGTAACCCTTTAACAGGCCCAAGGATATGCAAGACAAACCTACAAGTCCTCAATTTATGCAACAAATATATGTCCAGTGGCTTGTCTCTGATTAACAGACCTCCTTATCTTAAACATTCCAAGCCCTTAGACAAAGCTTCATGTCTTTAACCAATTACAAGTCGAAGAATCTTTAAACTCACCTATAACCTGTAATTTCCCCTCACCTCTCTTTGAGATGGCCCACCTTTTCGAGCCAAACCAATGTATGCCTTCCATGTATTGATTTATGACTTTACCTATAATCCCTTTCTCCGTGAAATGTATAAAACCAAACTGTAACCCAACCACAGCAAGCCCACTTGCTCAAGGCTTCTTGGGTGGGGCTCTGGGTCATGGTCCTCAAATTTGGCTCAGAATAAATTTCTTTAAAATTATTTTACCAAGTTTGGCTTCTTTTCTGTTAACAAGATTGGCACTCAACATGGGGCTCAAAGACTCAGGATCCCTGGAGGAGTAGCCTGAACTTGGTGCCAGGTGCTGGTATGGCCCTTTTGGGCCCCCTTGACTCTCTGCTTCTCCTTTGGCAGAACTGGTAAGTCCTCCTGAGCTCCAGACCTCCTGTTTCTGGCTGATGGTCTTGGTTTACTCTGAGCTGGTTCTTTTCCTAGGAATTATTTGGAATCCTAATCTAGATTTGGTGGTGCATTCCAAAGGGTCTTCTCCATTGTCTTTTTATCCTAAAATTAATCTCAATTGGCTTTTGTGTGCATTTGCAAAAGAGGAAACTGAACTGTCTTGATTGTAGATAAGTGAGAGACTGAGTTCCTCAGCCCCAAAGACAAGGGTCATCTCCTCCCAGCCTTGGCGGCCCTGGGTGACCCAGGTCTTGAGTGGGAGTTGCCTGGGGTGATTCTCGTAGGCATGAATGATGAATGGCCCCATAGGGAGCCCCCCCCACCCGACAAATTAATTAAAAAAAGGCTACTCCAGGAAATGCATATAAGAGCTGATCACTTGGCATTTTGAGCCCTCTGGGAGGTACTAGACCCCCAAGAGAGAAACTGAGACACCTAAGAGGGTGGGGCCAACTCAGTGGTAAAACATTGAGGAGTCCCACGCACAATCAGCACACTCTAATCCACGACACCAAACCCTAGATTACAGTTTGGTTGCTTCTTTTAAAGAAAAATTAGAAACAAATCCTTTAAAAAGGAGGAAAGGCAAGGAGAATGACCTCTTTTGGGCACCCCAGTTGATTTGTGGTGCCTCTACTTCCAACTATTTTTGTAAATGAAAAGATTCAAAGGCATGCCAGATTTTCTAGGGCTCCATCTGGTTATAGCTAATTCTTGTGGACAGGTTTTTACAAAAGGGCAAATCACATCAAGGAAAATTCAGAGCTCAAATGACTAACCGACCACTACAGAGTTAAAATGTCTCAACATGGGGCTCAAAGACTCAGGAGACCACTACAGAGTTAAAATGTCTCAACATGGGGCTCAAAGACTCTCTTCTTTTTAGGCTACTCTAAAACCTGCTAATGTTTTTTATTGATTGATTGTTTATGGTATTTATAATTGAAAGGCTACATTGAGATCCTGTAGCCAGTTCTAGCTAAAATGCAAACATTGAAAACTCATTTTGAACTGAAGGAAAAAAAAAAAAAGAGTAAAGAGGTTTTTTAAAAATCAAACTGCCATGGAAACAGCTTTACCCAAAACTTTGATTCACAGGGCTAATTAGGTTACCTATCAGGGCAACTGAAGTCTGCCATGTGAACAAGTTCCAGTTTTGTCAGAAGAGATTTGGATCAAGCTGTCTTTTACAGACTGGTGAGTTTGTGTTACCATCTCATGACTAGAATTTAGAGTAAAATCTATTAGAACTTTCTGTGTACATGTGTGTGTGAGAGAGTGTATATGTTTAGGTATGTTTTGTATATGTCCATGTATTACATGTTTGGGCTTACATGGTTCAGGACTGGCTTAAAAATAAGGGAGCACTCATAAATTAAACAAACCCAAATGGTTCATGTGAATTTAGTAATCTTTGGTAAATAAGCTGGGTTATTAAAAAATAAAAAGGTTTTATTAGTAAAGTAATAGTAAAAATGTTTTCAAATTGTCAGCATACATTTGTTTTTGCCTGGGTTTTACTGGACATTTTTATGTTCTTGAGGTGTCAAGATTTGACATAAAGTTTACAAAACTATAAACTCAGCCCAAGACAAAATGATCTGCATTTGTTTGATTTATTATAAGCAAGGTAAATTTAATATTTGATCTAATGGTAATCACCAAATCTGAGTTCCCAACAAAAAATACCTATGTGTTTAACTTTAAGGTAAAAATGCAAATGTGCCTAAGTATCAGCAAATTAGAATAAATAAAATAGCAAGTAGATAGAGCACAAAAACAAACTTATGGTCAAAGGTTTATGAAAATATTTTGGTTTTGGTCTTTTAATCCTAACTGCAGATATAGTTTACTTCCACTGATATAACATCTGTAGAAAGGTATACAAAAATGTGTTTCTAACTCACTGTCATCTCTATTAACAGTACTGTTAGGAATTCAAAGTTGTCGTAAAAGTTGTAAGTAAAAGAGCTTAAATTGAAAGCTTCAGTTTTCCCTTGGTCTTGTCCATTTTTGTCCTGCTCTTTACAAGCTAACCAGTTACCTGTACGTTATGTTGCTGTGACAAAAGTTTTTACCTAGAAAAATTTTCTAAACTGTTGATTTTTGTATAGTAATTTATTTAAGATAAAAAGTGAATGATTGTTAAAATCTGAAGAGAATCTCAAAACAGTCTTAACTCTTTAGAAATACTGCATGTACTCAAGGCAAAAAAAAATGTTTTGAGACTAGATTGTTTTTAAAACAGCTTAATTTTGATCCTCATGTAAAAAGCATGTTACCCACTTTGTATCATTGTTTGAGGTACTAAGGATTGGTGCTGAAGGCTTTTTTTCAGTCTATAGGCAGGTGATCTTAGGTTGATGGGATTCACAAAACTAACCTAAAATGAAGGCTTCGGAAGCAAATATTTTATGACTTTGCCTTGTCTGCCTGCCTCTTGTACCAATTCTTCCCTGAAGCTAGCCATGAAAACCAGAATCACTCTTCCCAAGGCATGTCATAAAGGTCAGAACCCCTTTTTCTGAAAGCTAGCCATAAAACCTAAAATTATTCCTTGTGAAAGGGCCATAAAGTAATATCTGACCTATTTTGTTTTACTGTAAAACCCCATTCCAGAAAGGGCCTTTCTCTGCACCCAGAAGGAAGGAATGCACACCCAGGGCAGCCAAATAGAATCTAAACATGAAAGCCTTGCTGGGTTCTGCATCTCAGCCTGATTAGCTTATGCCCTTTTTGTCCAATCATATTTCTACATGGCTGTCAATACTTTAAGCATAAAAATGGACAATTTCCCCTGCGTCTTTGAGTGTCCATTCTGAAGGCTTCCATGCGTAAGTTTTAATTCTTTCTCCTATTAATCTTCATGTCAGTAAATTTTCAGGAAGTCTTTATGGTAACAGTGGGCCTTTCCTCCCAAACTCTGGGGGCCAGGGATGCTTTGATCTCTATAATGTCAATAGATCTTGTTTTGGGATGTGGTGGTTTTGGAAGGATCTAATTAACTAATACCTTTAAACAGGATATTCTAAAATAATAAGTTTAAAATAACAAGTATTATTGAAATACTTGTTTTTCTTGGTAAGATTTATGAATTTAAAAGAAAAAAACTATAATTAGAACTATATTTTGATCCTTGTTCTGTGTTATATATCTAATTTGCAGGGTATAAAAATGGTTAACAGAAAAGTAACTTAAATGGATGGCTGGAATCTAAGTGAACTGCTGAAATAAATAAATAAATAAGATTAATTAGGTAAATATAAATGGAATAAGTACAAATGAAATTTTCATATAATTTAAAATCTTAAAGTCATTATGTTAAGTTAAAAAAGATAATCATAAAATGTCTGAGTCATTTCTAAGGTAAAATACTAGAACATTAATTCTTAAATGTAAGTTTAAGCTTATGCCTTGATATCCTATTTTTATATTTGGGAATGCTAATAAAATTGCATTAAATAAAAATGCTAATAGTTCAAAGTTACTATAACTTCATAGGTTTTCCTAAGAATTGATATTATGATTAATATAATCATATATTATAAACTTCTAGATAGAAGGGAAACAATTCTATATAAAAATTTTTTAATAAAAATGTTATGACATAGATATTAGTTTTGTTAAAAAGATAATTTTGTCTAATTTATTGGTTTTTCAAACTACTTTGAAATTCAATACATAAATGATCATTAAAAATTAAGTGGATATATAAAAGTTAAAGGTTATAAAAGGTTTATAAAAGTTTTAACTTATAGTCAAATTGGTTAAAATTAGATGGATTTGTTTATAAGATTTTATTGAAATTAACTTTATCACTAATACACTAATACAATAAAAAATTTGGATTTCTCTTTTGACCTAGATTTTCATATGATATTAATAGTAATAACTAGATTTTAGTAACAACAAAGATTTTTTTAAATTCACTTTTTAATAAACTGCAAAAAGGAAGGGAAGGAGAGAAAGATTCAGCCTTCCTCCTCATTAACTTGTACTTCAGTCTATCTATTAGGTCTTATACTTGTTTGAGAAACTGAGTCTACTCTCTATCAAAGAATGGAATTTTTTTCATTTTAAAAATATTTGAATTATCAGTTTGGCTATAATTTTATAGTAGCCTACAATCTTGCTTCATGACAAGTATCTTATGATGAACATCATGAATTCTTGCTCTTTAAGCTTTCACTAAAATTTAAAGTTACTGAAAATAAGAATTTTAGTCAATGCATGTGATTTTACATACAAAGTGTACCAAAGAATAAGATATGTTTTTAATAAGAAAAATTATAAAAGAAACAGAATGTGTTCTTATCAAAATATATATAACTTTGTCTAATTCAGAGGTTATTTAAAGGTTGAATCAAAATGGATTTAGACAGAAAATAAAAACAAAATAGAAAGTAACTTGTGAGTAAGAGAAAGATGTAAAAAGGCAATGAATATAGAAATATTTTTTTGGTAAGAAAGATTAAAAAGAAAGAACAATGTAAAGAAAGGATGTTATATGAAATTTTTATCCTAAAATGACTGGTTATTTAGGAAAAGGGAATGTTAGGACAAAATAGAAAGTTTTTAGGCATGTTTTGTAGACAGTTTATGGTCTGTGCAGGTTGGGATAAAGTTTATAAAAGGGAATTTATTAAGGAACTTTATATGTAGTCCACTTGGCAATAATTAAAGAAGGAAATTTTAGTTAAAACAAACTTTTCTGTTGATATTAATTTGCTCTTAATGAAACAACATTATGTGCTCATTTTGATTCTATAACCTGTATCCTTTTTAATAAAAAAGTAAAACCACACTACAGAAAGTCTTTCTTTACTTTCCAGTAACTGACCTAAAAGAAGCAAAGATTTTATACTTTGTTAAGATAATCCCTGTGCTCTCTTTATTAGGTTTTGACTAACTAGAAATACTAAACTTTAAAAGGGTTAAGGTTTATACCCCTATAACTTACTTTATCACCCTTAGAATATTTTGATGACTATCTCTCTTGGTTAAATAAATGACCCTTACTTTATAGTGGTGTGTGATTGTATTTGAACAAATGTTTTAAGCCTTTGATATTTGACAAACTTTCCAAAACCCAAATTCTAAATCCAGCCTCTTGACCTTACACTAGCTTTTTATATATTTAGGCCACTGACAGTCTAAGACAGACATTAGATTTATTTTGATAAGGAAAACCCCCACCTATTTCTTGGAGCATCAGCCACCTGAGACCACCCCTCACGAAAGACTCACATCAGCATAATATTAACCTATTACCTGGCCCATCAACTAACCTATTACCTGGTGCATCAACATAATACTAACCTATTAATTACATCAACTAACCTATTACCTGGCGGCACGTCAGCTGCCTGAGACCCCCCCTCAGACCACCTTAACTTAATAAAAATGGGAAAAATCAGGTAGATGGGGCTCAGAATTTGGTGGTGAGACCCCTCTGAGCCTGCTGGTGAATAAACTTTGATTCTCTGACTCTCCGAGTGCCACTTGGTTTGTCCTTGGAACCACCCACTGTAATACTTGCTGTAACAATTTGGTGCATTAAAACCATACAGGGAACATTGTCAAGTATGAAATGGCATTTAACTTTCCTTGGACTATATTTGTATATATATATGTTATCAATATGTGTTCCAGTATTATAAAATATTGACACGTCTTGATGTGTGTTATCAGAAATAATTATGGTTATTATGTAAATTGCTGTATGCCACAAAAATAACCAATTTTGTTTGTTAATCATCTCTTTAACCATGGCTAGTCCAAGTTTTATAATCCCTAGACAATTATTATTCTACTTTGATTCATCTCAGAAAGTTGTTCTTTCTGGCTAAGTCCAAAGTTTGCTTCTTCAAGTGAAGTCATGAAAAGGACCAACAAGTTCACTTGAATACTGGTTTCTGATAACTTTGGAGATTATATACCATTGGACTAAAACAAAACAAACTTTCAGGACTTTAATTAGGAAACTGATACGTCCATGAGTATAGCTAACTCAGCCTCATGAGACCAAACTAAATTTTCATAAAAAGGCTCTTTATTTAAAACATTGCTATTTCTTTTGTTTTGTTTTCCAGTTTTAGGTAAATAGCAAGTTTACCTGATATCTATGGGACCTAAAACTATGGAATCTACCAAAGCCCTGTTCAAATATCCTCTCTGTAGGCCCAGGGACCATTGCG